GTGCCAGGCACCCCTGGGGCCCGAGCGTGCCAGGCACGCCTGGTGCGCCAGATGCGCCACGTGCCTCCGCGTGCGCCAGGCTGCCGCATACTCCAGCCGCGCCAGGTGCGCCACGTTCGAGGCACGTGCAGAGTGTGTCAGATGCGCCTGCGCACGTGACAGCACACATCGGGAAACATGTCGGCCCACACCATCCATGTCGAAAACCATCATTGTGTCTGGTGAGCCTGCGCACAGCAGGCCGTACGCCACCACTTAACAGTGATCGCGGAGTGGCCGCGCATGATCCAGATTGAGCCGCGAGGTGCGTGTTGTATTGAATTTGTCAGGGATGGTAGCCTTGCGCGCAGCAGGCAGTATGCTGATACCCCCGCCGTCCCTGTCAACACACAATACAAAGTGCTCGCGGGCCTCACGCACATGACTCCAGACTTTGCCCCAAAGTGTATTTTGCGATGCTTTATAACAGGAATGGTGAGGGGGGGCCTCATGGGGTCCTCATTGTTCCTGGTTGGCTGCTGGTCGCCTCGGGGAGGGGGTGTACATGAATGGGGAACAATGATAAACCCCTCCCCAAAGGGGAAGAAGGGGGTTGGAAGAGGAAGCTTTCTAGACCACCAACGCCCAGAAGGCTGGTGGGATTATGCTTATGCAGTGTTGGTCCTCTACTTTCAGCAGAAGCAACAGCTCGCGAGCGACGAAGATGAAATCCATATCCTCGCGGTGGTCCTGGACCCCGAGGCGCGATCTCATGGATGCGCGTTCCCATGGACGCGCCCCGCGCGGGCACGTCCGCGCAAAGTCGCCCTGCATCCACAGGGTCGCGGCCGAGGGGTTCGGACCGCGAGACCCTTGAGTACTCATGGATACGGACGTTGGCCGAAATTGAATGCGAAATCTATCATGTTGAAACTGCTTCGGTCGGCGTCTCGGGGACGATGCTGGCTAGATGAAACGCCGCGGAGGGACAAAGTCCTCGTGTTCCCCGTCATCGTCTCCCTGGGCGGCGCCGACGTCGTTGACTATTCTCCCCCCGCGCGAACCATGGGCGCTGACCGAAAGAGCTGGTGATGCCGAGGTCGGCGTCTGGGGGAACGCGCCGATGTCGAGGATATGGTGATGCCGGGGCCGCTGAGGGACCGCAAGACCTTGTGTTCCCTGCTTTTCCTCCGTGCGAACAACATCGACGTCGAGAACATATGGTCGGGCGCGTGGTGCCGCGGCGCCGGTTCTGGCTCACCGCGCCTCGGAGCGACGCGCTGACCGAGTCCCAGTTCCCAAGCGTCGGCGTCGCGAGCCGTTCCCAGCCTCCCGCCCCGCGGAGCAGAGGGGCATGCCATCAGCTTGGAGCGCACGGCGTGCCGCAGGGGCGGCCGCCGCGTCACGCTGAGCGGAAGTTCCTGACCGCAAATCTGCGCGCGTAGGTTTCTCGCCCACGGTCATGGGACCGTAAGGGCTCGAGTCTGCTGGGACTCGAGACTGCCGACGTTGTTCCTGACCCTCCTGCGTTGGATTCTCGTTTTGACTGGAGCATTGCGGTCGCAGCTCCTGCTCCCGCCTCCCTCCTCCTCTCTCGCCTCCTCCTCCCTCGCCCCTGCCTCCTACTTCGCCGTCCTGCATGGGGGGCTTCGAACTGCGAAACTGTCGCCACTTTTGAGGGCTGCTGGAGGGTCCAGCGGAGTGACGTCTTACGCGAATTCAGATTCGACTTCGCCATCCCTGGGGGGGGGCTGCGAACTGCGAACCTGTCGCCATTTTCGAGGGTTGCTGTTAGGGTCCAGCGGAACGACGTATTACACGGATTAAACTCGATCTCTCCATCCCTGGGCGGTTGAGAATTCGAAACCGTGTCCACGTTTGTAGGCTGCTGGGGAGTCCAGCGGAGTAACGTCTTACGCAAATTCAGATTCGACCTCGCCATCCCTGGGGAGGGGGGGGGCTGCGAACCGCGATGCTGTCGCCACTTTGGAGGGCTGATGGGGGGTGCAGCAGAGTGACGTTCTACGCAGATTCAGGTTCGACCTCGCCATCCCTGAGGAGTGGGGGGGGCTGCTAACTGCGACAGTGTCGCCACTTTGGAGGGCTGATGCGGGATGCAGCAGAGTGACGTCTTACGCAGATTCTAATTCGACCTCGCCATCCCTGTTAGGCTGCGAACCTCGACACGGTCAAAACTTCCGCGGCTGCTGGGGGGTCCAGCGGAGTGACGTATTACACGGATTCAAACTCGCTTCCATGTTCAAGGGTTGCAGGGGGGTAGGGGGCAGCAGAGTGACGTCTTACGCGCATGCAAATGAGAACTCGCCATGCTTGGGAGGCTGCGAGCTGCGAAATTGTCGCCAGTGTCCAGGGTTTCAGGGGGGGGGGCTGGCGGAGCGACGTCCTATGCGGAATCAGATTAGAAATCACAGTTCCTTTGGGGCTGCGAGCTGCGAAGAGGCCGCCATTTTCGAGGGCTGCTGGGTTTTCCAGCATTGTGGTATCCTACGCGGCATCCGATTCGACGCCACCATCCTTGGGGGGGCTATGAGCTGCGGCATTGTCCAGTTTTCTTCTAGGTTTGCTGGGTGGCCCAGCATAGCGACGTCGTACGAGGACGCAGATCAGACCTCACCATCCCTGGTTGGCTGCGAGCTGTGAAATTGTCGCCACTTTCGAGGGCAGATGGGTGGCACAGCATAATGACGTCCTACGCGGCTCTGGGGGTCCTCGAGCTGCAAAATTGCCGTTGCTTTCAAAGGCTGAGGGGTGTCCCAGCATCGTGACGTCTTACGCGGACTCTATTTTTTTCCTCATCAACCTTGGGGTGGCCTCGAACTGCGAAGCTGTCTCCACTTTCGAGGGCCGTGGGGGGTCAAGCGGAGTGACGTCGTCCTACACGGACTGAGATTCGCCTGGGTTTCCTTTCCCGCGGGCCGCCTGCAGGCCTGGCGGCGCGCCTGCGGGCGTTTGGCCTCCACGCTGCAGGGGTGCGTGAAGGAAGCGGAGAGAGAACCTGGCGGGCGAGTTCGGCTTCATTCGTTTCTTGCACAAGTGATGGACAGCTGATCCATGTGAGCGCCAGATCGACACGGCGCGGGCCGCGTTGCTTGTCCAGCGCGCCACTAGGAAAAGATCGCCACCCTCCTGCCACATCCTGCCTGTTTCGTTGTCGTCCTCTCCGTCCTTTGATTGCCCCCCGTCCCGACCCCCTTGTCATCTTCGAGCCTGGGTTTTCAGTCCTGGTCCTTCTGTTGCTGTCCTGTGAGTCGTGCAGCGCGCGCGCTTCCCGTAGAGCCTGGACAACCAAAAACATGTTCTGTGCCATCGGCCGTACTAGTCTGGACCAGTTTTTCTTGCCACTTCGCGCAGATGGGTCGGGTACGTCGCAGGGCACTTCTCCCACGCTCCCGACATGCACTTTCACGGAGCAGCACGTGTGTTGCGAAATGTTTTGCGCGAGGGGCTCGCATCAAAGTTCTGCCTTGCACACGTCATCCGACGACCCCGCGCGGCCGAGCGCCCAGCGCGAGCGCCCACTGCCACGGAGCGCGGAGCACGCGGCGGGGGCACGGCCTCGCCAGCCGACGAGCACGCAACGCGCAGGCGCCAATAGCCAGTGACCTACGCGCCGCCGCATCGCCCGCGCGAGCCCCATGTCTCGCCGGCGCGCAGCAGCTGCAGCCGGGCGCGCGCGCGCGCGGTGACCTGATCCGGCGGCTGCGGCGCTCGCGCGGGCCAACTCGCGCCCCCCAGAGCTCGATTGATGCCCGCGCCTTCCCTGCGCACGAGCAGCCACGTCGAGGAGGAGGAGGAGGAGGAGGAGGAGGAGGAGGAGGAGGAGGAGGAGGGCGCAGCCACGTCGAAGACAGGGCGGGGGGGGGGGGGGGCGGCCGCGGCCCGCCGGCCGCGGCGGCCGGCGCGCCCCCCGCAAAGACCATGCCGGAGCTGCCGGAGGTGGAGACGTCCCGCCGCATGATCGCCGGGGGGGCCCACGGGCAGGGCTCGTTTCGACTCCCTTGGCTCGGTTCGGACATAGACGATGAGAAGTCCGTGCCACAGCGATCCGGGACGCTCTGAGAAGGCCGTGGCGCCCGAGACATCCTCCAGAAAAACGCCAGATCTCAGAGAGGCTCGATGTGCCCCCCGCCCGATTTGATCTTCGTCGTGGCGCCTCGTCTTGCCCCATGCAGGGCTCGTCTCGATTCCTCGGGCTCGGGTCGATTCGACGTCTGATGTCTGATCGTAGGTCTGTGTCTGCGGCACTTCGGTTAAGTCGGGCCCGTCCCCCTACAGGAGGAATATCTCAACAATAATCAAACAATAGTTTGGGGACGGTGATTGATAATTCTTGACTGTATCTAAGCATTTGTTGTCTATTGTTTACTCTTCTTCCGAAGCCCGCCTGTAGGAGGACATGCCCGACCTAACCTAAGGACTATCAAACATGGATCCGGTGCCCCCCCCCGCTCAACACGTGGTGCAACCACGAGCCAAGCATCGATGGCGTAGATCAGTTCACTGCTCCCATGTCGTCGTGAAAAAGTCAGGCCCCGGCCCGGGGGTCGGGACCAGTGGGGCCGCGCACTGGAAAAGAGCAGATCGGATGACGCTTGGGGATACGTCCCGCGCAGGCTCTTCCGCGCAGGGCCACATTGTGCCTTGGCTATGGGTATGTTCCCCGCGCGCACGCACCAGGAATTAGGGGGGGGACTGCGCCAGCTGCGGCCAGACTCGAAGTTCGTGCCTGTGGTTCTCTCTCTACTTATCTCTCTCTCTCTCTCTCTCTCTCCTTCTTTGTATATGTATATATAATCCCCCTCTCTCACCATCTGTATCCATCGTTTTGTTGTTGTTTTGTCTCTCTCTCTCTTTCTCTGTATCCGTATCTCTCTCCCCCACTCTATATCTCTATCCATCGCTTTCTCTTGTGTTGTTTCTCTCTTTCTCTCCGTCTCTTTTGTTTTGTTCTCTCTCTCTCTCTCTCTCTGTCTCACCCACCCCCCATCTTTACGAAGAAACACACAGACTGCTTCGCCCTGCAACCTGGGAGGCGAGGCGACGATGCCTTTCTTGCCCGGGGGGCGCTGGAGTAGGCAGGATTGTGCCTCCCTCGCCTGGGCCCCCCGACCTTCGAGACGCACTGCAAGGGCCGCACCATCACGCAGGTACTTGCGAAGGAGTGTGGTGGCGGCCCTCGCGACGGGAAGTTCGACAGCAAGGTCATCGGCGAGGGCGTCAACGAACACCGACTCGTGGCAGCGCTGCAGGGCCGCAAGCTCCAGAGGGCGCGGCGGCGCGGCAAGCAGCTTTGGCTGGAGCTCTCTGGCACAGGGCCGGCACTCCTGCTCCACCTCGGCATGACCGGTGCCATCCGGATCTTGGGTGCGAAGGGCGTAGCGTACAAGCGCTTGAGGGAGGATGCGCAGTGGCCACCGCGCTTCACCAAGCTGCTGCTGAGCCTCAGCGGGGGCAAGGATCAAAGAAGTAAAACCAGCCGAACAGAACGCTCGGAGCTCCGCGCGGATTGGATCTGCACTGGAACCTCCTTGGAACCTCCTTGCGCCCCTGGCGCGCTCCGCGCGCTAGGGAGGGGGTTCCAGCGCAGATCCCAGACATCCGCGCGGGTCTCCGAGATGCAGCCCCTTGTTCATCTGAAGGAGTTGGCGCTCACCGACCCCAGGCGCTTCGGCAAGGTCCTGCTCCGAGAGAGCCCAGAGGATCGAGTACGATTGTTCGGGGCTTACTGCTAGCGGGGTAATTTGCTCGGCGGGTGGAAAGGAAGGGTGGAGGGCAAGCAGTACCCCGAGCGGCTGGAGCCGCAGCCACTTACCCCGCTGACCAGAATGAATGAATGAAGCCGCGTGTCCGTAGGCACATGAGCAGGGCACGAGCGTGCGCTAGACTGTATACTTGCGCACAGCTGCTTTCCAGGCACCGCTGCTTTCCAGGCGCCCCGCTGACCAGAATTCCGAAACAAAAACACTTGCGAGGAGCAGCCCCCGCTGTCTCTCCTGGCGCCGGACCCGGTGACGGACGCGCTGCCGCTGCGAGAGTTCGTCGCCGGCCTGCGGTCGGCCAGGGCGCCGGTGAAGGCCCTGCTGCTCAGCCAGGACAAGCTGGTCTGCGGCGTGGGCGCCAGGGGGGGGGTAGGCTCGAGGTTCGAGGTGGGCTCGAGGTTCGGGGTGTTTGGGCGTTTTCGTTGGTGCGCGGCAGCTTTTCAGGCGTGGGATGCGTTCCAGCAGCCACGTCTTGCCGAGGGGCGTCCGGGGCTGCCCAGATCGTTCCGGATAAAGGGGCCTGATAGATAGCCCACCCCGTCCAGGAGCGCGCGGGCGATTTATGGAGGAGGAGGAGGAGGAGGAGGAGGAGGAGGAGGAGGAGGGGGAGGAGGGGGCCCATCGCCGACCCATGTGCGATTTGATCGCCGATGCAGGCTCGGTGCCCCCCCGCCCTTGGCCAGTTCCCCTCCCCCACTATGCCGCTGGCCTGCAGGCAACTGGGTGGCCGACGAGGTGCTCTTCCACGCCGCCGTGCACCCGGCCACGTCCGCGTGTGCGCTCACGGACGCGGAGGCCCGGGCGGTCCACGCCGCGGTGCTGCGGATCTGCAGGTCAGGGGGGTGCTCCAGGCGCCCCATGGGCCCAAGGTGCCCCCAGCTTTGCGCTCCATTTTGGAGCCCCTAGGGCCCTCTGGGCCTCGTGAGGGGTGCTCTGGAGGCGCTGGGGGACTTCTCGACAATCCTGGGGGCACCCTGGGCCAAGGGCACGTCTAGCAACACCTGAGCAGGATCGCGTGCAGCGTCTCCGCGGACCACACGCGCTTCCCGAAGGGCTGGCTGTTCCACCACCGCTGGGGGAAGGGCCGGGACTCCGCGGGGCAGGTCAGAGGAGGAAGAGGTGCCGACACTGCTGCTCGTCTGGGAGAGTCCTCGTCGCCATGGTCAGAACGCACCCCGGGAGAGGTCAGGGCAGCGGCTCTAGGCATCCGAGATGGGCTCGGAGTAGGTGGGGTCGGAGGATCACGCCGCATCGCCGATGCATCGCCGACGCGGCTCGACGTGCAGCACGATCTGCTTCACTTTGACGTTGCCGACGCATTGCCGACGTCGGCGATGCATCGCCGGTGCATCGCCGGTGCATCGCCGATGCATCGCCGATGCATCGGCGATTCATTGGCGATGCGGCGCGATCTTTCGACCCCATCTACTCGGACCCGATCTAGAAGGCCTCCAGCAGCAGTAGCAGCCAGTGTCCACACCCTGTTCTCCCCAGCAAGGGGGGCAGCGCCCGCGAGGCGCCGCCGAAGGGCGCCGCGCTGCCGGACGGCAGGGCCATCGAGTTCTCGGTGGTCGGCGGGCGCACCACCGCCTACGTGCCCGCGGCCTAGCTGCCCTTGATACTCCCGTGTTGAAACGCACCCGGCACTTTTAACTCTCTGTTCAAAGTCCTTTTCATCTTTCCCTCATGGTACTTGTTTGCTATCGGTCTCGAACCAATATCTAGCTTGAGATGAAATTTGCCACCCAATGTACACTCCAATCCCGAGGAACGCGACTCTTAGAAGGTATGCCGTGCACGTGCCGTGTTCATTCGGTCGCAAATCATGGGAGCCTGACGTACCCTCTCAAGTATGTGTTCAGCGTCGTCTAGCGTCGATGAGCGTCTGGAGTCGATGTGATAGCGCCGGTTTAGCGTCGGTTCGCGGCGACCTGCGTCGATGCAGCGTCCAGTAGCATCGGTGTAGCGTCGGTGAGCGTCGATTCGCTAGATCCGACAAGGTGGTATAGGAGGCCCCCATGAGTTGCCACCAAATGTTCAAAACGTCTGTGTTAACACGCTGCGTGGTGGCTCGGCACTTGTTGGTCCACGGCTTGGGGGGTCTGCCCCTCCAGACCTGCGTTTTCAATCTACGGCCCCGCTTGTGATTAAGAACCCCCCCCCCGCGAAAAGCTGGCCCAGCGTTCCTTGACCAGCTTGCCGGAGAGCTGGTTCAGCTTCTTGAGGAGATTGGCAAGTAGCCTTGGATCCTAGACATGAGCAGTGTACCTCCCTGGCTCCAAAAGCTGGCCCAGCGGTTCCGCAAGAAACGTCTGAAAAGTTGCCCCAGTTTTCTTAATGGGTAACTTTCTTAATATTATGTTTGATTGCGCGTGTTTACCAGCCTGGAACATATCCTCATCCCTATGTTGGGCATCGCCTCGTCACGATGGCGATCTTAGGGGTTCCCTTTTTTTGTGGGCGAACCCCTAAGATTGTCGTCGCCTTCTGGCGTGTCGATCTTAGGGATAGAGACACGTTCGAGGCTGGTAACGTGTTGATCTCCGCGTCGGCACGCTGCGGGCTGCATGTTGCGCACTGGGGCAGCCGAGGCCCGCGGTGCAGGGCAGCTCGCCGGCGGCGAGGCCGCGCGCGGCCACCGCGGCCGCTTCGCGGCCGCCCGCGAAGCGGCCCGCCGGGCGGCCCGCGGGGCCCGCCGCGAAGCGCCGGCGCAGGGCCGGAGCCTGAGCCGCCAAGCCTCGAGCAGTGGCGGGGCGTCCTGGCTCGCCTGTAGTCAGAGCCCCGAAACATTAGGGGTAACCCGGGTCAGGGCCGACTCGGGTTCGTTTTTCGGGATGCCGAACCCGACTTACCCCGGACCCGACTTACCCCGGATCATTCGGGCGTCCAGAGCCCCAAATCATCAGGGGTATCTCGGGTCAGGGCTAACCCGGGTTGGCGGGAATCCAAAACCGAATCACCCCGGACCCGAGTTACCCCGGATAGTTCGGGCGCCCAATGTAGGCCTACCAGGGAATGGTCTAAGAATTTTTCATTTTTGTTCCACGAAGTGTTCTCTGAACATGTCTGGCTGGGGCCGTCCTGTTTTGGCACATCGGGCGACTGTTCTAAGAGGAGTGCATTTGTTCTTGGAACATTTGTGGGTTCTGAGACAATTTCGTGGTAGGCCTATAGGACTGCCGGCACGGTCGGTCCCTGCTCAACCAACGCGAGGAGACATGTGGCCTTCCCGTGGAACCGGCTGGGTGTCTGGGGAGGCCCAGCACTGGTTCCAGCCCCTACAAAGCAAGGGAGGGAAAACCACCCCGACCCCAAGAATGGGTTTTCACTACACGGCCCTGAGCATTTACTAAACAGCCCTGCGTTGTTCGATCGATTCTTTCCCTGGGTGCGTTTACTAAACGGCTTCGCTTGTCGGGGTGCTTATAGTGAAGATGGATTCTCTTCTCTCGAAGAGAGGGGGGGGGGCGGCGAGGTCCGAGATTCTGGATTCGACGAGGTGCTCTGCCCTTTTGCTTGCCTCCAGGGGCAGGTTTCTCCCCCCCGGGCCGTCAGAAACTGATCCAGGGTGGCGAATTGCACCAGATAGATTTGGTAATACCCAAACGTGGTGGTGACAACACCTGGCGGTGAGTCTCGGGCGATTTGGTGTCACCACCCGGTTTGGGGACTCATGCGCTTGTTCGAGGATGTCCCGATAGCTGGTGGGCCCAAGAGTCACAAGACCCGGCGGTGAGCCCGTGTCCCAAAACCCGGGGGTGACTTTTTGGGGATTCCAGGTCACCACCTGATATCTCACCACCTGGTTTGGGGGTTCCCAATAGATTCCCGGAGGGGGATGGGTTTGGGGACCGATTTTGAACGGACTTGGCTTCACCCCCTATTCGATCGATTCTCCGGGGTCCCCACCAGTTCAGACCCCCCAGCCGCCTCCCACCCCTCTTCCTCAGCCTTCACCTCCGCCACAACAAGATCTACACAGACACCCTCCACTGGATTGCTCTGGGGCCTCAGGGGCGGGTGGCGGTGCATAAATCACCACTGAGAGCTGGCGACTTGATACACCGTCCCCTCCCTGAAGGCATATGCAAAGCTCGTCGGAGGGTGTCTGTCGTGGCGTAGACCCTCCCACGCCCACGCCATGTTCTTGCGTGATGTACACGGCGCGCTCTTTGTGGATCGTTGTCCTCTTCTACATCCGATTGTGCTGACGGAGAGGTGCCCTACGCAACGGCAGGGGATTGGAGGGAGGGGCGGGACGTCAGATCTGACGCGAGCGCACCTAGCTTGCCCTCCCTCCTCTCGTCTGTTTCCTCCCATCCTTCCTGCTCCCTGAAATCCGGGCGTTGCAATGTTTGCGCAACGGGCGTGGTCGCCCGATTTCGGGCCCCAGGAAGGACCTTCACCGTTCGGTCCGGCTTGAACAAATGGCACAGAAAGATGGGGACTAGGGCTCCGGTGTTGATGTTCGTGATGTTGCAAATGTTTGGCAAGAGGGTCAGCGCCAAATCCCCCCCACGTGGCGACTGGTGGGTGGTGGCTGTCTGAACCAACCGGGCACATCCTCTGGGAAACCGTCCGTACTCTCCCCACGACTTCCAGCCGCCAGTCGGGGCCCTCCAGCTCCTCCACGAGATTCTCCCGCTCCCCCAGCTCGCCCTCCCCAGACCTCCAACCCGACGACACGATTTCTTCGAGTCGCCAGCCCCTGCACCTCTCGACACCTTGCCTGGGGGCTGGCCTTTCACCATGAGTCGTGCGCGACCGCCCTGGGGGACGCTGAGCTCTCCCCACCAGCCGAATGACACAAGAGACTCTGGGCAGGCATGTTCGAGCCGCCCGTGGTCGTGGTCCTCGTCATCCACAAGATGTGTGGACCCATGTCCCTTGTGATGGGTGGACCCACGTCCCTTGTGTTGCCGTTTCCCTCCTCCTTATCACCTCGGGCGGGGGCGGGCGAAGGGCGCGGCCCTCTGAAAGGGAAGGGGAGCTTCTCGGGAGCTTTCCAGCCTGCTCAGTAGCCTTCGATCCCTCCCGAGAAGTCCCCTGCTTCTCGTAGAAGGCCGCCCACACGCCCCACCCCCATCTTCGCGCCGCATCCCTCCTCCTCGGCCCCCACCTGACGTATCGACCCCCGCTTGGCTTCTGCATCTCCTTCTCGTCCGTCGTCGTGGTCCTCCTCCTCCTCCTCCTCCTCCTCCTCCTCCTCCTCCTCCCAAGCCTCCCTGCAGTAGCTCCTCCTCCCTCCTAGTAGCAAATCATGGACGCCGTACCCCCCTCGCAGCTCCGTCTTGGCGTGCGCTAGCGTTTGGTAATCGACGAAGGAGCGCCGCTATGGCCTCGACCAGCGCCGGTGTAGCGTCGACCGGCGCCGATCGAGCGTCGACTGGCATCGAGCAGCGTCGATCAGCGTCGACCCGCGAGGGCCGGCAAGATGGCATGGGAGGCCCCCGCGAGTTGCCATCGAACTGTCCCCTTCGATGCTCGTTGTGGGGACCGCTCCTGGGGCCCACCTAGTGGGTCTGTTCGACTGGAGCGACTCAAGGTCGACTCAAGTTCGACTCCGATTCGACTCGGGTTCGACTCGAGTCGACGGACCTGCGACGCAGCTTTGACGCACGAGTGGAGCGAGTGGCTCCGAGAAGGTCCCCAGAACGAGCATCTAAGCCCCCTCCACCTCCCCCTCCCCCTCCTCCTCCTCCTCCCCCCTCCTCCTCCTCTTCCTCCTCCTCCTCCTCCTCCTCCTCCTCCTCCTCCTCCTCCTCCTCCCTCCTCCTCTGGTCTCCTCTTGGGCCCCGTGGTGGGTGCCCCTCGGCCTCGGCCGCCGCGGGCCCTCGGGGCAGCGCCCGCGCAAGCCTCCGCCTGCCGCGGACCCCCCGGAGGGGCGGAGAGCGGGCGGCGAGAAGGAGGGCGCTCGCCGCCGCCCCTTCGCCGCGCGTCCGGCGGCAGGACGGCTACTCTGGGAAGGGGGGAGGAGCACTGGGGAGGAGGGAGGACATCGGGACGACCGCCCTGGGCACGGAAAGAGTGGGTACAGTGCCCAACGGCAGTGCCCGTCCACTCTGGGACAGGACTCGCTGTCCGCGCCGCCGCGGCCTGTGTCCACCGAAGACACGAGGCCACCTGCCCAACAGCGGCCGCTGTCGGTTTTGGGCAACATTTGCTGTTGGGCATTGTACCCGTTCTTGCTCGCTCTGTGAGGAACTGAGTGCCCCTTTCGGTATTTCGGCTCGGTGTCGCCTTGTAGTCGCCCCGTGGCCACCCCGTGTGCTTGGCAATGGTTTGTCTCGGCACGCATTGCCTTCCCATAGTTTTCCCAACCCTCCTGCGTGTTGGGTCCTCGTTTTGAATACGCAGCGCCGGGCGTCCCCTTCTCCTTCTCCTCCCCCTCGTCTCTCCACTTTCTCAACAGAACATCATCGTTTTCTCTTCTCGAATGTCGGCGAACCCCTCCCATGTTTCGCGGTCCCATCGGGATCTCCACACACGGCCCCAGTGGGTGCGTTTGCATGGCGTCCCCGCGCCCATTTCGGCACACCCTGGAGCTAAGATCGTGTTCCACATGGAGCTCTGCCGATGGCCCCAGCAGTCGCGTTCGCGTGGCGTCCCCGAGAGCTCAGACGTTTACTGCCCTCCACGGAGCTCCACCGATGGCCCCACCGGGTGCGTTCGCATGGCGTCCACTCGCCCATGTCAGCACACCCCTCACCCGTTTCCTGCCCCCAGGGAGCTCCACCTATGGCCCCAGTGGGTGTGCTCGCATGGCATCCCCGCACCCGTGCGCCCCCTGCGGCTTCTCCACCCCTGTGGGCGGGCGCCTTTTCGGCAGCCTGCTCCTCCTCCTCCTCCTCCTCCTCCTCCTGCTCCTCCTCCTCCTCCTCCTCCTCCTCCTGCTCCTCCTGGTCCTTCTACTCTTCCTCCTCGTCCTCCTCCTTCTCTTTCTCCTCCTGCTCTTCCTGCTCCTCCTCCTCATCCTCCTGCTCCTCCTGCTCCTCCTGCTCCTCCTGCTCCTCCTGCTCCTCCTCCTGGTCCTCCTCCTGCTCCTCCTCCTCCTCCTGCTCCTGTTCCTGCTCCTCCTACTCTCTTCCTCCTCGTCCTCCTCCTCTCCTCCTGCTCCCCTGCTCCTCCTCCTCCTCCTCCTCCTCCTCCTCCTCCTCCTCCTCCTCCTCCTCCTGCTCCTCCTCCTCCTCCTCCTCCTCCTCCTCCTCCTCCTCCTCCTCCTCCTCCTCCTCCTCCTCCCCGTCGGCGCGCGCCCGCCCGCGCCGGCCCCGACGGGCGCCGAGTGCCTGCGGAGAGTGGGCCGCGGCCTCGGGCCCGAGGCGGTCAAGCGAGGCGCCGGCCCACGACGCCGAGCGGCGGCCGCGGCCGACCACACCCGGTCGCCCGCTTCCTGCTGCGGGCGAGGGCCGCGCGGCGCGCGCGTCGGCGCGCCGCGGTCGGGACCTCCACGGCTTGGCGGACCGCGTGCGTCGCTCGCCCCCGGGTCCCCGAGTCTCCTCCTCCGCTGCCCCTCCCCTCGTCGATCCTCCTCCTCGACCCTCCTCCCTTGGCATCGCTCGGACGTGTGCATTTTTCCTTCGGCGAGGACCATCGAGGAGCATCCTTGATCATTTGGT